GGCCACACACAGTATGATCTTATACCAGCCACAGGCTTTCTGCTCGTTCCAGACTTTATTTAATCTTATTTATCTAAAGAATATTTCTATTTGATGGAATGGTGCAGCCATGAAAACATGGAGGATCTGGTATGAATATGTCACTCAGTGTTAACAATAGATGTTGATATTGCAATTTCTTTTTTCTGGGATATATATTGCGATATGAAAAAAATACAAGAATTTTCACCTGACTTAAATAGCAATATCTGGATTAATTGGGGTGATTATTGGGGTGATTTTGTATGGGAAATGTATAGGAAATAAAAAAATAAATAGGCTGAAAAATTACATTTTACTCAAGACTTTTTGATTGCACCATCCTTTCTCTTTAATGGACATTTTAAAAATCAAAAAACATTTGAGCAGCTATACAACCAGTGCAGAGTTGTTTTCAAAAAAACATTAAAACAAAGTCTTGGTCATAATGGTTGAACAAATTAAGGTAAAATTTAACTTTTATAATTGTATAAAATCTGGTTTGGTTTTCACGCAGACACATTTTAACAAAATTATAAAACTAAAAGAGCAGCAGCACGACCAGTCTCCTGAGTGGTTTACAAAAATAAAACTTAAGTTAAATATATAATTTACTATCAACTAAAAACTATCAACTAATAAATAGCAAATGTCAATTTAGAACCATTTTTAAATCAACTTTTCTTAGCAACATACAAAAAAGTGTTGGGTAGTGTGTTCAAACAAATAAAGAAAATCTGCTTTCCTAGCAGCTAAACAAGTGTCAAGTTAAGAGGTTTTTGGTGAAGAATACTTGAGACAAGAGCATTGGCAATTGACGATGTTGCCACCTGCACTGAAAATCCTTTCTGGAGGTGGAGCTTGTAGCAGGGATGCATAAATACTTGCGGGCAAGCTTGGCGAGTCGTAGAAAGCTAACTCTGTGACTTTTCCACCATGCAAGTGGATCTTCCTCTTTGTCTGTGGAACATATCAGCAGGTAATTGTTTAACTCTGCTTCCACAGCATCCTTAAGGGTCAGAGAGGAATCACCCTTTGCTGCAGCTCCGCTTTGTTTAAAGAAACTTCTGGGCTTTTTCAAGAGCACATCTGGCCTTCCAGCTGTGAGAGAAGTGACCCACCAGCTTCTTGCAGACACCTGCAGCACGGTCAACGCGTCCATCCTTTTTCACTGCATTTTCTAAGGGAAAAAACAATAACAAAACAAAGTACATATTAATTAATTTACACAATTATATTTTTAACTAAAAGTGATTATTAAATTGTGTTATCTTATGTCCATTTTCTTTCTTTTTTTTCTCCACGTCTTAATGATGTGTGTGTGTGTCTTTAAAAAGTATTTGCTCATAATACTAACATGTTAAAAGAGTAAAATAAACATAGCATGGGCATATAACTTACCAACTGCAAGATGCAATCTGTGGCCAAAGCACTGCAGCCTGGTCCAACTTGTTCAGGGCGGTAGCTTTTACCATGTTCACCGCATTGATGTTTTACAGACTTGACGTCTCATCTAGTCCCCAAGCAGCCACCTCTTCTCTCATCCCCATTGCAATGTTCTCACTTGTATGATCCTCCAGGAAAAATGGTGTTTGCAAACAGCGACTTTTGAGTTGGAAGTCCTTATTAATAAAGTGGACACTCAGACCAATGTGGGGCTCTGTTGTCCGGCTGGACCACGAATCTGTGGTAGCGGCATAATATTCCATGCATGACAGCTCGGTTTCAACTTCTGCCTTGCATTTGTCATACAGCTCTGGGCAACTTGAGAAAAGTATGTGCGTGATGGTATTTCATACTGCTTATCAAGCGTCCGGATCATGTTTTTGAAACCCTCTTTGGTTATTGTATTGATTGCACCTCGCTAAGACATGACTCCAAAGTTATCGCATCGGTAATTTCTCTCTCGCCATTTGGAACCTTTCTAGTATGGTGCAACACTGGCAAAAGCATCTGAAATACTTGCTGTAGCGGCTGTTGCTTTGGATGACCTTCACTTCTCGCTTTGCACTGGTCGTACTGAGCTTTGTGGTGCCGATTTAAGTGATCGAACAAATTAGTTGTGTTGCCTCGTTTTTTTGGAACAACTACAAGACACAGGTGTCAAAGTACCTTAGTTTGGTCAATGTTGTCGTTTCTGTAGCCAAAATAGTTCAAAACCACTGAATTTGCTTTTCGTCTTGGCACCAAATCCACTTTTTCGCTGTTTTTCTCCTGTTCCCCACTCATTTTCACGTTGTCTATAAATAGCCGGGGCGGTGCCTGCTTTGATAAATTGATCAAGATATTGTGATCGGTGGTGCGCTGTGCAGAGCCTGTTTGTCACTCACTAGCAACAAACTGTGTTTCCAAGAACTCTAAAATCCGAGTAAATTATGTTAACATCAGAGAGACTTAGTATATTAGTTGTGCAAAAACTTTGCCAGTATTCGTTTTGTATCAAGCAGCAAAAATATTCTGTTATCTGCCTTGCTTGACATCGCATGTGACTGCAATGTGACTATTGCTCAAGTGCACATCTCGATGCTGAAACAATAAATTGTGCAGCCCTAGTTAACATCATATAGCTGAACTTCACAGAGGAGGTGGAACAAGTTGAACACAATAAATATGAGAGGTCTAATGTAAAATCAGTGTTTGTGCTGTTAAAATCTGTGAATAACAACAACCTTACTGGGCTGCTGATCTTCCATTATAGCAGGACTGGTTGTTTCTATTAAAGGTAACAGGACACAAACCCTCTGCACACAGTTTGCTCCTCCAGTGACTTTAAAGTGAAAACTATCATCTGTTGAACAAACTGAAGCTCCTCTGCTGCCTCCTGCTGGCTGCTTCCTGTCACTGTCAGTCTGTTCGTCCCTCAGGACAAACTGTACAGCCTATGACCAACTCTCTGACTTCACTTCATACGGAGGACAGAATCTGACAATTTAAAACAAATACAGAAATAAAAAAATGCTCAATAAATAAACATCCTATTAAATGCACCAAAAAAAAAAAACTAAGTAAATCTAGGCATTAATTAAAATTATAGAATGAGACACAAATTGAAATATTTATCTTAAGTTGCTTCTTTATTTATTCACCTTTGTCACCAATAGGGATGAAGCCACAGACTCCCAGCTAGAAATGCCCGCCCCCCTGGATCCTTGATTGGATGGTGAACTGATATTCCTGACTGGATAGTCAAATACAGACGTGCTCAAATTTGTTGGTACCCTTACAGCTCATTGAAATAATGCTTCATTCCTCCTGAGAAGTGATGAAATTAAAAGCTATTTTTATCATGTATACTTGCATGCCTTTGGTATGTCATAGAATAAAGCAAAGAAGCTGTGAAAAGAAATGAATTATTGCTTATTCTACAAAGATATTCTAAAATGGCCTGGACACATTTGTTGGTACCCCTTAGAAAAGATAATAAATAATTGGATTATAGTGATATTTCAAACTAATTAGTTTCTTTAATTAGTATCAAACATGTCTCCAATCTTGTAATCAGTCATTCAGCCTATTTAAATGGAGAAAAGTAGTCACTGTGCTGTTTGGTATCATTGTGTGCACCACACTGAACATGGACCAGAGAAAGCAAAGGAGAGAGTTGTCTGAGGAGATCAGAAAGAAAATAATAGACAAGCATGGTAAAGGTAAAGGCTACAAGACCATCTCCAAGCAGCTTGATGTTCCTGTGACAACAGTTGCAAATATTATTAAGAAGTTTAAGGTCCATGGAACTGTAGCCAACCTCCCTGGGCGCGCCCGCAAGAGGAAAATCGACCCCAGATTGAACAGAAGGATAGTGCGAATGGTAGAAAAAGAACCAAGGATAACTGCCAAAGAGATACAAGCTAAACTCCAAGGTGAAGGTACGTCAGTTTCTGATCGCACCATCCGTCGCTTTTTGAGCGAAAGTGGGCTCCATGGAAGAAGACCCAGGAGGACTCCACTTCTGAAAGAAAAACATTAAAAAGCCAGACTGGAATTTGCTAAAATGCATATTGGCAAGCCACAATCCTTCTGGGAGAATGTCCTTTGGACAGATGAGTCAAAACTGGAGCTTTTTGGCAAGTCACATCAGCTCTATGTTCACAGACGAAAAAATGAAGCTTTCAAAGAAAAGAACACCATACCTACAGTGAAACATGGAGGAGGCTCGGTTATGTTTTGGGGCTGCTTTGCTGCGCCTGGCACAGGGTGCCTTGAATCTGTGTAGGGCACAATGAAATCTCAAGACTATCAAGACATTCTGGAGCGAAACGTACTGCCCAGTGTCAGAAAGCTCTGTCTCAGTCGCAGGTCATGGGTCCTCCAACAGGATAATGACCCAAAACACACAGCTAAAAGCACCCAAGAATGGATAAGAACAAAACGTTGGACTATTCTGAAGTGGCCTTCTATGAGTCCTGATCTGAATCCTATCGAACATCTATGGAAAGAGCTGAAACTTGCAGTCTGGAGAAGGCACCCATCAAACCTGAGACAGCTGGAGCAGTTTGCTCAGGAAGAGTGGGCCAAACTACCTGTTAACAGGTGCAGAGGTGTCATTGAGAGCTACAGAAAACGTTTGATTGCAGTGATTGCCTCTAAAGGTTGTGCAACAAAATATTAGGTTAGCGGTCCCATCATTTTTGTCCATGCCATTTTCATTTGTTTTATTATTTACAATATTATGTTGAATAAACAATCAAAAGAAAAGTCTGATTTCTATTAAATGTGGAATAAACAATGGTGGATGCCAATTACTTTTGTCAGTTTCAAGTTATTTCAGAGAAAATTGTGCATTCTTCGTTTTTTGTGGAGGGGTACCAACAAATTTGAGCACGTCTGTACCATGTTAAGCAGAGCATCCCCATTGGTTATTCAGTAGGATGTGTGGGAGAAAAGTACTTGTAACTGGGGGTTTGGTTTGCATTTCCACACATTCAAAAATTCTTAAAAATACAAAATACTTCCACACATAAAACGTTTTCACACAGCTACAATACATTTGGGGCAATATTTATTCCACAGTCCTGCAGCCAGTTCAGCATGTTAACTTAAAACCTCACGTTATTTAATATGTGGTTATGGACACATAATTTATCAATTAATATACGTTTAAATTCAGCATAGCATAGTCAGTCTCTCTGTCCTTCGTCTTTCAAGTCCTGAGTTCCACTTGATGGAAACCAGAGTTCATGAGATGTTCCTTAAAAGACAGTGGTATCAGGTTCTCCTAGCCACAGTCAGGTTGTGATTCACTAAACTGGCTTAGGTTGTCAGAGTTAGCTCTCACCCATCGTCGTTTATGCTCTGGGAGTTCTTGCAGGTCCGTTGTATACCAAGAAACTGTCATCCAACTTTTCCATTAGTGACCTCCCGGATTTTCCCTCAGGGTGGGGGAGTAACGGATTAGGTAATGAGGATACAAAAAACGTAACTGTATTTAGTTACAGTACAAGAAAAAAAGACAGTCAGATTACAGGTACATTTAGAAAAGTCAGGGAATAGGGATTACTTTAAGTTTCCATGAAACAGAAAATGCAATGCTATTTGTCTCCATATATGTTTTTTTAGATACAGTCTATGGTATATGTTTGTGTTTCTGTAAAGCTAGAAAGGGACGTGTCACAGATAGTAATTGGCATTTACATTTGCCAGTAGCGCTGAGTGTGTGTTAACGTTACGGCCACAACCCAGCTATCAGTAAGTAAACGATTTGAATTACATATAGTGCTATAAAAATACAGTGACTGCCCTCTACTGGTTAAAATCTGGCTACTGCAATTTAATTGCTAGCTCGGCTCTGTGACAAATGTCAAAATGATCAGAATCAGCTTTCTTTGCCAGATGTGTGTACACATGAGGAATTTGACTCAGGATTGTACAATGCTCACTGTGCTTACTTTAAATGCTTTGTGTATGCATTTGTGTCTTCTAAGAGTTCTCCTGTTTGTATAAGATTTGCCACACTGTTCACACCAGTAAGGTTTCTCACCAGTGTGAACACGTTGGTGGATTTTTAGGTTACCTGATTGAGTGAAAGTTTTTCCACACTGTTCACACCAGTACGGTTTCTCTCCAGTGTGAACACGTTGGTGGATTTTTAGGTCACCTGATCGAGTGAAATCTTTTCCACACTGTTCACACCAGTACGGTTTCTCTCCAGTGTGAACACGTTGGTGAGTTTTTAGGTGACATGATCGAGTGAAAGTTTTTATACACTGTTCACACCTGTGAGGTTTCTCTCCAGTGTGAACAAGTTGGTGCTTTCTTAGGTGACCTGATAGAGCGAAGGTTTTTCCACACTGTTCACACCAGTACGGTTTCTGTCCAGTGTGAACACGTTGGTGGTTTTGTAGGTTACTTGATGTAGTGAAAGTTTTTCCACACTGATCACACCAGTGCGGTCTCTCTCCAGTGTGAACACGTTGGTGGGTTTTTAAGTCACCTGACAGAGCGAAAGTTTTTCCACACTGTTCACACCAGTACGGTTTCTGTCCAGTGTGAACACGTAAGTGGTTTTTTAGGTGACTTGATGTGGTGAAAGTTTTTCCACACTGTTCACACGAGTGAGGTTTCTCTCCAGTGTGAACACGTTGGTGGATTTTTAGGTGACCTGCTCGAGTGAAAGTTTTCCCACACTGTTCACACCAGTGAGGTTTCTCTCCAGTGTGAACACGTCTGTGGTTTTTTAGGGCACCTGATGTAGTGAAAGCTTCCCCGCACAGGTCACAGCTGTACGGTTTCTCTCCAGTGTGAACTCTTTGATGAATCTTCAAATATCCAGATGTTGCGAAGGATTTGTCACAGTGCAGACAGTGATGACGTTTGAGTCCATCTCTTCTTCTCTATATCAACAGAGAAACACAGTAAGTGAGATGTCATGGTGGAGCAAGCTATCTAAAACCAAAAATGACATTAGAGCTCATCTTTGAAATCACCCACTTAACTTATGTACCACATAGTGAGTATGTACTGTCTTACATAGTCAGTCATAATAATCTTTATTTGTAGAGCACTTTTCAAAAACAAGTTACAAAGTGCTTTTACAAGTGTAAAGACAATAATACCCAAGAGACAATAATACAAAAACAATACAAGATAAAAGCATGAAAACATTGAAAAGACTAAAATACACGTTTAAGATAAATATAAAATTAGTAAAATACAATCAAATAAAAAGGGATAAAATAAAGTCAAATAAGATCGGGAAAAGCTCTCCTATAAAAGTATGTTTTAAGAAGGGACTTAAAAGAGTTCACTGACTCAGCTGACCTGATTTCCTCGGGCAGGCTGTTCCAGAGCCTCGGGGCCCTGACAGCAAACGCTCTGTCCCCTTTAGTTTTCAGACAACAGACCTCTGCCCGAGGATCTCAAGGTACGTGCTGGTGTGTATGGGACTAAAAGGTCAGAAACATAACAAGGCGAGAGGCCATGAAGAGTTGGATTTTATAGATTTTTGGGTTAAACAGGTGAAAAGGCTGTTGCAATAATCCAGGCGTGATGAGATGAAGGCGTGTAAAATGGTCTCGGTGTCCTTAAAAGTTAACATAGATCGAATTTTAGCTTTATTTCTAAGTTGATAAAAACATGATTGAACAAGCTTTGTGGTGTGCTGCTCAAAATTTAAATTACTATCAAACCAGACACCAAGGTTCTTTGCCACAGGCTTAATGTGATTTACTAGGGAACCAGCAGATGGCAGTATTTGATTTGCCATCTGCTGGGACCCAATGACCAGGATTTCTGTTTTGTCTGAGTTCAGCTGGAGGAAATTATTGTTGTTAAGTGAACTCAGCATTCCAGGGTCTGTGGATCTGACGGGCAAGTATATTTGTGTGTGTCATCAGCATAAATATGAAAAGAAATGCCATGTTTATGGATAATATGTCCAAGGGGAAGCAGATACAAGGAAAACAAAATGGTTCCTAAGACCGACCCCTGAGGCACACCATATTTAACTGGACAGAATGAGGAGACATAGTTGTTTACAGACACACAAAACTTCCTATTTGACAGGTAGGATGAAAACCATTCTAGGGCAGTACCAGAGATCCCCACCCAGTGCCTCAGTCCGTCTAACATGATGTTGTGATCAATGGTGTCAAAAGCAGCGCTAAGGTCCAGGAGTACCAGGACTGAGCACATGCCTTCATCAGCAGACATTAAAAGGTCATTGGTGACTTTAAGCAGGGCAGTCTCAGTGCTGTGGTACTTCCTAAAACCAGACTGAAACTTTTCAAATAATTTGTTATTTTCCAGTACCGTGAGCAGCTGTTTGGACACAATTCTTTCTAGAATCTTTGCAATAAAAGGCAGTTTTGAAATTGATCTAAAATTATGTGGGAGGGAACGTTCTAAACCAGGTTTCTTTAAAAGTGGGTTCACGCAAGCCGTTAAATAATCAGGGACACAACCAGTAGATAGGGAGCTGTTGAAAACAGAGATCAAATGGGGGCCAACAGAATCTGTTACTTTCAGTAAAAACTTTGTAGGTATTACATAAAGTGGGCTGGAGGACACTCATTTGTGATACGGTTTTTAAAAGCTCAGACAAGTCGATGGGTTAAAACTCTGTTGTTGCTGGTGAGGAACCTCTGAGTAAGAGGCCGCAGGGGTAATAGAGGCTCTGATTGACACCACCTTATTGGTAAAATAAGATAAAAACAATTCACAGTCATCATTACTTCCAGCTGAGGCACAAGGAGGGGTTGGGTTTACCAGCTGATCCACAGTCTTAAACAGAAACCTGGGATTGTGTTTATGTGTAGTAATGAGTTCAGAAAAATAGTGTGTTCTCGCATCCTTAACCATGTTATTGTAGGTAATTAATAAATCCTTCAGACTGAGGTAATGGACTTGGAGACTGGATTTTTTCCATCTGCGCTCTGCTTTCCTGCATTCCCTTTTTAGGCTGCGAATGCTGTCATTTATCCAGGGTTGCTTACTAGCTTTAGACGTAGGCCTAACCTTTAGAGGAGCAGTAATATTTAGTGACGACAAGCAGATATGATTGAAGTGATCGACCAGATTGTTGGTGTTGGAATCAGACAGGTGTTGGCTTTGGCTCTGAAAGAATGTGCAAAACTTTGAAACACTTTGTTCATTAAAGATGCGAGAGCACACGGAGCTTGGTGAGGCGGCGTGAGTAACAGGCGAATCGCAGCTAAAAACAATACATCTGTGGTCAGATATGGTCATGTCCACTAATTCCACAGAGGAAATGCTGACACCCAGGGTAAAAACCAAGTCCAGTGTATGACCACGGTTATGTGTTTGCCCCACGGACATGTTGTTTGAAGTTAAAAGAAGTGGCCATATTTAAAAAGTCAGTTGCATTAACATTGGTGGGGTCATCAACTTGAATATTAAAATCGTCATTCTGTCATAATTTAAAACCAGAGTAGATAAAAATTCAGGAAGTTCTGATAAAAATCCTCCAGGCGGTTTTGGGGGGCGATAAATTATAACAAATATGAGGTTGCAGCCCTCCAACTTTAAGAGTGAGAACTTCAAAGGAGTTAAATTCATCACAGCGTACTTGATGACATTTTAAATTTTCCCTATACACGCTCACTAGCCCACGACCACTGACCCTCGGTTAACTAAAACAATCATATTGAGGCGGACACAGTTCAGCTAGCTGGCTATAGTCATTCATTTGCAACCATGATTCAGTTAAAAACATAAAATCTAGATTTGCACACAAGATAAAATCATTTAAGATAAAAGTCTTACGTGACAGAGATCTCACATTGAAGAGAGCCATTTTAAATGAGTTTGTTCTGGGTGCTGGAGTTGGTGCAGTTGTCCTAATCCTTAAGAGATTACTAATATTTCTGTGTGGGATGTGCACATTTCGGTTTACTGGTCTATGCGTGATGATGACAGGAATAGAAGTCTTTTGGAACAGCACTGGGAGCAGACAGCTTTACATGCCAGCAGGTGGAGACAGTTGTTTGTGGCAGTGAGGCAGAGATCTGTTCTGTGAGTGGTGGTGTGTCCAGGTGTGCTGCATGAATGATTAGTCATTCACGTAAGTCATGTGTGGACCAAACCACATGCTGTATGTGCGCAGCTAACATTTCTGAGCCCCGTTTGTTTGGGTGAAGTCCGTCATTCTTCAAAGAGACATTCTTTGCCAGAAAATATTAAAATTATCCACATAACACACACGATGAGCCCTGCAGGCGGACTGGAGCCAGTCGTGGAGGCCAAGGAGTGAACTGAAGCGGCCAGCACCGCAACCAACTGTGGGAATGGGACCAGAGATAAAAACAAGACTTTCCGCACTGCTTTAAAAAGTTAAAAAGACGGTTAAAATCTGATTTTGTCAGCTCAGACTGCTGAAGAGCTGTGTCATTTGTTCCCACATGGACATGGATGTGATGGAGGACGGGAGCGACGGCATCAGGTCCTGGAGTTTTTTTAAAATGTCTGCCGTGGTGGCACCGAGGAAACAGTGAGTGATAGCGTTAAAGAAACTGAGGTTTCTGGTTATGGAGTCACCAATTATTAGTGTGGTTGGGGAGAAAAGAGGACGAGGAGATGCCGGTTGTGGGGTTCCAGAGCAGGACTGAGCAGAATCTGCTTCAACACTGCGTGCGGACTGAGGATGGAGTGTGTGAGCTGCCGAGTGTTGTGTTGGAGTAGCAGTGACAGACCTGAGAGAAGGGCTACCCGACGGTGCAGGGTAGATACGGCCTCCAGAGCGTCTGAGCACAGCCTCCTTCAGGATCCTACGTTGGGAAGCGGAGGTTTTTGACCGGGATGACGGCCGCCGATCAGGCCCAGCGGCAGGCCGGCGGCCCAGCGCGGGAGATGTAGCCGGTGGAGGAGATGCAACAGTGTTGGCAGGCACTGTGCGCCGAAAGAGATCCGTATCAGGGAGACTCGAAGCCGCAGGTGCATCCGCTGGATGGACCCGGAGTGTCATCAAACAGGGCTGCATAGCAGTTGGAGAGGCCGATGTGCGGAGGAGAGGCAGCCCCATCCGAGCCTCTCTTGCAGCCACGGACCACCTCTTCAGCCCAGGTTGACTGATGCTTCGGAGTCGAGCAGGATGAAAGCCTGGGAAGGCTAGAGGGGTCCCAAAACACGGTGTCCTGGATGTTAGCGGTTGCGCTAAGAGAAACAATCTGTTTGGCTTGTACTGAAGCTACATCCATAAAGCCAGTCAGCAGGGAATCTCTCTTAGAGTTCCTCTGAAAGTCGTCGGATGTCTTCCATAAGGTCAGCAATCTTTTTGTTCGCTTTCTTAAGGAGTGCGCAGTCCTCATGGGGCAGAGTTATCTCGGCTAGCATAGCCGCCGGAGCTTTGTTATTGTCAGTTGCCTTGATAGCGTTTTTAGCGTCATCTAGCTTAAAATCCATGTCAGGACAGACGTGTCCTTAACCCACGTAAAACTTAAGTTAAATAAAAAGGATATAAAAAATGTAACGAAAAAGTGTGGATTAAAACTGGATAAGAGTCCGGTTTAAGACGGAGCTTACGACAGGTACAGACACCAACACATGCGCAGAGTGCAGTATGTAAAAAATAATAAATGACAATTTTACCTTTACTTAATTAAGTTTTGTTTAAAGAATTGTACTTTGCGTTATAAGTGGTCATAAGATTTACTCAGTAACAGATGTGACTGAAAATGTAGCAATCTGAACATTTCCTGCTGCTGCATCTTCATATTAAAAGCATTTAACTGGCAACACACAAGTTGACTTTTATTTTGAAGCCGTCTCAGGAAATACAATCTGTAAGTTAGATTAGCGCTGACTGTTCTTATTCATCAAAACAGTTTTCTGACAGTGGACCAGTTTGAAATATAGCAGTGAGTAATGAAGCAGTCAG